ATGAGCTTTCCTCAGACCCCCTCTCCCACCGCCCTGCCCGGCTCGCCCGCCCCAACGAGGGTCTTGGCGGCCGCTCCTCTCAACACATTAAGAGTGGGAGGGGAGTAGAGGGGGAGGAAGGAAAAAAAAAAGAAGCGAAGGATGGAGCGGAAAGCAGCGCGAAGAAGATGTCGGAGCAGCAGAGGCGGGCTGGAAGGGTGGGCGGGCAGCTTGGCTGAAAGGCGCTTTATCTGTGAAGGGCTGGGAGGCCTGGGCGGAGGGATACGGCGCACGGGGAAGGGGGAGGAGGGGAGGGAAAGAAGGCCCTTAGCGGCGGCAGCGGCGGCGCTGGAAGTTGCTCAGTTTCTATGTAGCCGAAATAGGAACCAAATGAGGCAAAAATGCCCCCAGGGACCGCAGGCCCCACTGGGTGAGGCGGGCGCGGGAGAGGCTCCTCTTCGCCCTGGCTATGAGGGCTTTTTTCGAAAAGGGGAGGGCAAAGGGTTGTGCGGGGCTCCCGAGTCCTGCAAATCTCTTCCATATAGCCCTCCTCGTCGTCTTTAAATGCTGCAGCTTTCCGTCCGCTTGTAAGTTACAATGTCCTGCGTTATTGGAGGTGGGATGGGGGGGGGTTTTCTTGGTGAGGGTTACTCGTTTACAGGTGGAAGAGTGTGAATGAGAAATTAAAAATGTCAGTTTTAACCGAGGCGTTCATAATGCTTTGTTTATTGGGATTTTCCCCCTTTGTTACTGCCTATCTCTGACGTGGAGGGTTAATAAAGTCTTTATTGATCTTTCGTTCTTAATACATTCTAATGTTCATATGGGCATTTTCGTGGTTGTTATTAGTTATTCCGAAATAGCAGGCTATTATTTATATTTCAAAAGCCGAAAGAGCATTTGAAAGATAGCAGCGAATGCATTGTATAGGGTTGGAGTTCAGATAATTTATAGCTGGATCGATAACATACAAAAAGGTTATCAGCAAAAGCATGATTAATGGTTACATTTACTTTTTGCCTCTTCTACAGTACTGTATGTGGCAATGAACAGGGTTCTCTTGTCTAAGGTGACCTGTTTGTATTGCTGTGAAAAACCATTTTACAGGCAAAAATGTATTATAGTATTTGTTTTCTATCATGGTCAATAATGGCAAGCATTGATTCAATAATGTATTTTGGAACTGAATGTAAGGTATAGAAAAATGCCATGTCCTCATACAGAATAATATGCAAATATTGAAGTAACTACTGCAGATTGGATGAAAATACCTCATCTGACAAAATTAAAAAATATGTATTTAATAAATGGTTTTTAAAAAATTCTGATGGGAGACTGAAGTATATTATGCAGAATTCAGATGACTGCTTCTATAATACAGTACTGAATGTAATATTAAATCTTACTTATGGTGTTCAAGTATGAAATTATGGTTCAAGCTATCCAGGCCTGGGCCCAGAAAGGAAGAGACTGCATTAATGCTTTTAAGTACAAAGTGGGATTTGCTGTTGTAAGAGCAATTACTGCAGTAGTCATCACATTGTTACAATCTTCCTTAAAATGCATCATATTTCTTGAAAACTCAACAACTTATGTAGCCAATCCAGCTCTGGTTGGGGTCACCTGTGGAAATAGAACAATTTCAGCCTAGAAAGTACTGTGTCATTTGATGATCTTCAGGTTAACAGATATGTAACTAGAATGAAGGTACAAAATTTTTGGTGTTGAAATTATCTTTTATAGGCTTTCTTGTATCAGCATTCATCACTTTGATATTATTTTCTTTGGCCTGTATGTCAGCCTGGAATATTAAATGTATATATTATACAATTGTGTGAAGATTTTAATTCCTCTCATCCTTTCAATAAAATATTTGCTAGTTAAATTATTCTGGATTGTTTTAAATTTAAGATGTAGAAGATGAATAGTGACCTTAATAATGAGTGTTAACACCCTCATTTTCTACTGTTTTTCTACTTACATATGTGCAGTAGATAAGATGATTTCTTAGAAATTTTAATTCTGTATTTAAATTTGATTTGTTTTTTTCATTATTTCAATATAAAACGATTTTTAAAATTTATTTGGAAGAAAGTTAACATGATTACAATATTTGTTTCATTTTTTGTTTCATATGTTGTACAATAATTTTGTTGGTTATTGAATTCACATGCAAAACACTATCATTTTTAATCATAAATGCAACCCACTAAATACTACAATGCAGTTCTTTCATTGTAAGCTTATTGTTCTGCAATAAGGTCATTGGCTTTCTTTTCATGAACATTCCTTTGTTTTCCAAAAAAGATATAGAATTATTTTTATATTGCATAATTAAAACTTAGGGTGTTGGATATGATTTGTTTAACAAAATAATGTTCTATTCGCTTGGTTTTTAGGATGTTTAAATAGTGCATTGTGCTTAAACCCAGTAAAGAATTTATGAGTTTCTTTTCAGTGGGGAAAACAGATTTTTTAAAAAACTGTCTGAAGAAGTAAAATATGAAATCCCTACATTTGTGTCAACTGATCATGTTTAATTTAGCTGCAGTGTATCATTGTGATGCAGTAGTTCTGTGTGAACTGCTTATATTACACTGAGACATGCTTTAGTTTACACAAAAAGATTGCCCCATTTTGTATTAGAATGGTTGTTCAAAATACATAGCATAAAGTTATTGTAATATGGTATTCTACAAAATTGTGGTGTAATTCTAAAGATAAACTGTTGACCTATATTTTCAACAGGCTGCCTTGAGTTCATTGGGTGAAAGATGGGATACAAATAAAGTAAATAAATAAACAAAATAAATATTTGTTTCTTGGTCTGAATAGATTTTCAAGCTTTTTTTTCCTTATTTGAGAACTGCTGAGTTTCAGGAAACTGACAAAAATTGCTGGTTAAGGAGTAACAGCAGATTTTTCAGATAATATAAAATCTAATTTAATAGCAGATTATAGAACTATTTTCTTCTCTATAAATGAGAAACAATATGAATTAATAAAATAACATTGCTATACAGTATTTGGATAAATATAGCTTTCAGTTACTGATATTTCTGGTACATTTGAAGTAAAGCTCCACATTGTTGTAATTAACTGTGTATTGTTGCCTTGTTGATTTCCTTAAGGCAGACAGTTATGAGAAGCACATTGTTACATAACAGCACTGATGTTACCTGTCTGTCATGGGTTTGGAGGGAAAGTTCCATCCTATGGGGAGTGGAAGGCGGGACATCAGGAGGAGGGGCTGTACTGTATAAATATGTGATGCCTGTGTGGTGAAGGGAGATGCTGAGACAGACTGTGAGACACTGGGTTGGGACGAAGCAGCAGCTGGGGAAGAAGAAGCTGTTGTGGGAGTCTGGGTGTCTGACAGGGTACTACTGTGTGTCAGAGTACCAACCTGAAAGGTTCAGGGGTCTGTTGGTTAGCCAGAACTGATGGATTCAGGGTCTGTGCTTTAAGTTAAAGGTTCTAGGTGAACCAAACTGTATGCTTGTGTGTGTGAGAATAAGCCACGTTACTTTATTTTATTCACCTGATTGTTTTATTTACCCTGTTTGTATTTAAAATAAACCTTATTCTTTTATTGTTTAAAAATCCATCCCTGGTCTGTGTGACTTATTATAGGGAATGGTTGGTGGCAGCTTAGTGTAACTGTGTGACATATCCCAGTAGGTCTGGGTTTGTCACACACATTACCCAAAGAAAGGTGCTATCCTGCAGAATGAGCAGCATATTGAGTTGGTGCCAAAAGAAACATGAATGGAAGAACTTCAGTTATTTGCACCATTTCATTCATGGTTGCACAATCCTTAATGGAAAGTTCCATGGAACCAAGTACCTGGAAGCGCATCACAGTATGCAAAAGATTATTTGTTAGCCAAGATGTAGCTACTACATATGGACCCATGCTGTACTGTGGGGATGTGAATTGAGGCTCAT